CAGATGAGCTCAGCTCTACAGACTCTGTCCTGTCTGACCCTCATCCTTCTTCTCTGGAACCAAGTGCCAGGGCTCCAGGGTCATGAGTTCCGATTTGGGCCTTGCCGAGTTGAAGGGGTCGTTCTCCCAGAACTGTGGGAGGCCTTCCGGGCTGTGAAGAATGCTGTGGTAAGTAGAGGCTAGCCCTGGATCCTTTCATGGTGCTCCCCCTATAGGGGGTATCTTTTCAGGACAATGGATCCCTTTCCAGCTCTCGGTTTCATACATAAGAACCCTGATGAGCTGGGCGGTGGTAGCGCACATCTTTAATCTCAGCAGTTGGGAGGCAGCCGCAGGCAGATCTCTGTGAGTTTGAGGCCAGTTTGGTCTACTAAGTGAGTTCCAGGACAGCCAAGGATACACAGAGAAACCCTGTTTCAAAAGCACAAAACAACAAACAAAGAGAACCCTGATGAGGTCAGGAGGCTCCATATGCCTAGTGCCATACATGAGGAACCTGAGGCCCAGTCATTGTGGCCAGCCACCAGTCAAAGAATCAGAGTCCAAAGGGCGTAAAAGGGACCCTGAGTGATTCTTCTTCATCCTGGGTGAGTCTGGCTCAAGTTTAAAGAGCAGGGTGAGAGGCTCTGGGTTTTGGAGAGTCCTCCAAGAGTAAGAGGCAGCTCCTAGGTTCAGCCACCTGTTCCCATGTGAACTACGGAGATGAACCTTACCCTTTGTGGCTCCCTGAAAGGCTCCATTTCCTGTGTCTCATAGGACTAAAGGAAGCAAAGGTTTCTTTTCAAGTTTGTGGTCAGGCTCTAAGGACCCCTGGGGGTACATATGCCCCTTTGGGATGAGTAAGCTTAGTGGTTTTCTGTAGACAGGACCTGTACCACCTCCCCAGGAGCGAGCTCATTATGTCCCTTCCTGGGTCCTCCTCTGCTCCCTCTGGCCTCCGAAGCTCACAGATGGGATAGAGTTTGGAGTTGGGGAACAGTGTATTAGCACGATTGGTTCCTACACGCAGATCCCTAACCTGGAGACATCTTTTCTTTCTGTTCCCAAAGCAAACTCAGGATGGCATCACAAGTATCCGGCTGCTGAAGCCTCAGGTTCTTCAGGATGTCTCGGTAATCAGATAGTGGGGAATGGGATAGCTCTCTAAGAGGGGCTGATGGGAGCCCTTCCCTTCTACTCTGAGGTGACCCTACACAGGACAGGGCAGGACATGAGGCAGGGTGGTCTCTATTTGGTGTTACTACTCTGTTGGTAGGCGAAAGGGTGGGGGTTGGGGTTGATAAGCATCATTTTCCACTGAGTCAGGCCCTTGCCAGCCATCTTTCTTTTGCTTATGGAAATACAGCGGGCATTTACTGAAGTCAGTCGGCAATTCACCTCCATCCTTTTCTCTCACCTGCTACTATCTTCTTACCATATGCATAGACCAGTGGTTCTCAATCTACAGGTTGTGTCCTCTTTGGGAGTCAAATGGCCCTTTCACAGGGGTTGCCTAAGACCACCAGGAAACACAGATATTTAATGACAATTCGTAAGAGTAGCAAAAATTCCTGTTATGAAGTGGCAACGATAATGTTGTGGTTGGGGGTCACCACACGAGGAACTGTGTTAAAGAATTGCTGCGTTAGGAAGGTTGAGAACCAGTGCTCCAGACAGTCTATGACATGCACGGAATGCTCCCTGAGGGCACCAAGCTTCGGGGAGCAGAAAGGGCCAGACAGCACTTGCTGGGTTCAAGGGCATCAGGTGTCTCACTCTTCTCCTTCCAGTCATTTTCCTGTCTCAATCACAAAGTCCGGTCCAAATGCCTTTCAGGATCCATCGCGTTAATGAGGTCATACAGTAGAAAAGGAAGGGAATATCGTCTGGGTGGTGAGCCAGGAGTCCTGGGAACCAGGCTAGCATCTAGAATGGCTGAGTCACCTTGGGCGGGCATCTTCTTCCTGGGGTCTGGGATCCTGCTATGAATCACTTGTTCTACAAGACTCTCGCCATTTCTTCAGATCTGTCTAGTGCCACCATCGTTTCCAAGGAGACCCTATGGCATTCATCTTGCTTTGAGTGGCACATGGGTTTTCTCTTTAGGGTTAGGGTTGGCAGATGCCTCAACGATTTGGTTCTTCCCCAGGATGCTGAGAGTTGTTACCTTGCCCACAGTCTGCTGAAGTTCTACCTGGACACCGTTTTCAAAAACTACTACAGCAAAATAGCTAAATTAAAGCTCTTGAAGGAGTTCTCCACTCTGGCCAACAACTTTATTGCCATCACGTCAAAACTGCAGCCTAGTGTGAGTAGATCAGGACTGGAGCCTGGGAAATGGTGGGCTTGAGAATCCGCCCCTCCCCCATCCAATCCTTCCATTCCCAGCACCAAGTCCTGGGTGTCACGGAAAAGGGTTATAGGTTCAGGTCTCCATCTGCTCTGATCAGAGAGATAACCCATGCAAGGTGCTCCACTTCTCTGGGCTTCAGTTTTGTCGTCTGTGAAATGGGGATGACGTTTCTACTGTAGAGATTTGGTGGGAAGAAAGGTACAGCCTGTCCTATGTTGGGACTCAGTGCAGACCTCACAGGATCTGGGAGCCCCACCCTGATAGCACCGGGAAGAGCTGGAGGGGCGAACCTCCACTCTTCTCTAACCTTAGGAATGTTTCTTGCTGATCCGCAGAAGGACAACGACATGCTTCCCATCAGCGGAAGCGCACGCCGGCGGTTTCTGCTGTTCCGCAGAGCATACAAACAGGTGAGGCTAGCAGCTGGAACTGGGCCCACCCAACAGAAGCAGGCAAGCTTGAACTGTCACAGGGGAGTGCCCCAGAGACCAAATGCAGACTTGAATGCAGGTGCCTCCTCTGGGCTAGTCCCAGACCTACCTGACCTGGGAGGGAGACACGTATATTTGCAAAAATAAGCATCTGCTTTGCAGAAGTGATTTCTTTTCCTGTTAGTGGGTTTTTTTTTTGATTCTTATTGAGCTCTACATTTTTCTCTGCTCTCCTCCCTGCCTCTACCCTACTCCCTCCAACTCTCCCCCAAGGTCCCCATGCTCCCAATTTACTCAGAAGATCTTGTCTTTTTCTACTTCCCATGTAGATGAGATCTATGTAAGTCTCTCTTAGTGTCCTCTCCTGTTAGTTTTCAAACAGAAATGCTATTGTTTTTCCTTACAAGATTGTTCACTATTGAGGACTTCCCTTAAAAGAAAGTTTTACAGGTACCTAATGTCAGAGTTGAGAAAGAAGGTGGATAACTGACTTTCCAACACATCGTTTCTGCAATGTTCAAACGGTCTCATTTTGAATAAAACATATAGAGGATTACATTATATCTTTCTAGATTAACACACAAAAGAAAATCCAAATCTCAAGCCTAGTACCCTCACCCTCAAAGAAAACATGCTTGGTTTTGATCACTTTATGGGAGAGCAGATACACCAGTCTAAAATCCATGGTGGCATGTACAAAAGCATGCTTATCCGCCCAGTGAGCTCACCACATCTTCCATAGGTGGCATCCCATGGTTCTATGTTCAAGGTTTGTGTTCTTCTCTGGCTCCTTACCCACTACTCAACAGCCCCTTTTCCTCACCCTGGAAACAAAATACACATGGATGGGGTACAAGTGAAGGGTGGATGCATTTATCAGAGGCCATTCCCCAGGTGATTCAGCTAATTTGCAGTCAGGTCCCTTTCAGGCAAGCCAGGCTGGAAGGAAACTATTCTTGAAGTCAATATCCCTGACCCCTTTCTCTCCATTTACTGCAGATGGACACAGAAGCAGCTTTGGTGAAAGCCTTTGGGGAAGTGGACATTCTCCTGACCTGGATGCAGAAATTCTACCAGCTCTGACTGTCTGTCAGGATGATGTCCTCGTTCGTCCTCCGTGTCGTTTCAAGCCATTGTTTATACCCATGCTCAGACCTCAGACCCTTGGACACAGACTGACTCCATGGTTGGCTCAGGCTTCCCTTTAGACTTCCTTCCTCAGCAGTCCACATGACAGTCATAGAAGGTGCCTTTGAATGCTGTAACTGATCCACAAGGCGGATTCGCATATTTATTACAACTTTATTTAAATCACTGTTATGTTTCGGTGGTAACCATATTTATTTGTGAACTTGGACACTCCACGAAAGCAGCAGAATGTAGTGCCCCATGCTTCCACGGTATTTCCTGTGATCTGGCTACAGCATGGGGGCAGTGGATGGATGCTCAATAAATATTTAAACTGGGTTGCTTCTATTTATTTATTTTTGTCTGTTTTGAATTGTTGGGGAACAATGAGTGATGTTGAGTCGACTTTAGTGCTGGGGTGGAAAGGAAGGCACTGACTTGGGATTTTATTTATCATCATGTGTATGGGTGTTATGCCTGCCTGTATGTTGATCCCCTGGGACTAGAGCTAAAGATAGTTGTAAGCTGCCATGTGGGTACTGAGGATCCAACCCAGGTCCTCTGGAATTGCTGCCACTGCTCTTAACCTCTGAGTCATTTACTGTGGGAGAATGCTCTTGTACACTGTAAAGATCTGTCTCTCGTATTGGCTCAATAAAACACCGATTGACCCGTAGCCAGGCAGGAAGTAAAGTCAGGGCGACCAGACTAGGAGAATTCTGGGAAGAGGGAAGACAGAGATGCAGTAGTCAGTGAGATGCAGAGGAAGCGAGATGAGAATGCCTCATTGAGAAAAGGTACCTAGCCACGTACCTAAACGTAGATAAGAATTATGGGTTAATTAAGTTGTAAGAGCTAGCTAATAATAAGCCTCTGTGTGTTTCTTTGTGACTGAACAGCTATGGGACCAGGCAGGACAGAGACTTCCATCTACAGTTATTGCTCCACCAAAAGACACTAATTTGAAGACTAAATGATGAAAGCTACAATGTGGGCTAAAACAGAGCCGATTCATCCCAAAACTTCACCTTTTCCTTGATTCCCCATCCACCCCACTCCCCGATTTCTCCAAGTACCCCTCTTTTCTTATGATACCATTCTTTCCTTATCTGTTTAATATGATGTGTCAAGCTGAGAGTGACTTCATACCTGGATGCAGTGTTCAATCTGTGATGCTATTCCTCATAAAGAAAAGCAGCTTGACACAGGTAGCCACTTCATTTAATTTCTAGGAAAGTGTTCAGGGAGCTTGTGTTGTGTATCTGGGAAAGGCCTTCTTCTCAAATGCAAGAACTGGCATTCTCCTGCCTCATGCTATGCCTGAACTCTGCAGCTGATGTCAATTCCAGAAGTGCCTGACTCTACCCTTGCTCTAAGCATCAGACAAGAAGCATGTGCGGGTGGGATGTCTCTTCTTCCATGCTGGAAGTGCTAGTGCAGAGTTCTGACCTCGTGGGATCCCCCTGGGTGCTTTGCTCCCATGCCTTGCTATGAGCTGTCTGGAATTGTCAAGGAAATGGCTGTATTTCTGAAAGCAGAGAGAGGTGATAGTTTGGCTAAGATCAAAGTGAAGGTGCTAAGATACAGAAGAAGATAGGAGATAGCCAAGACTTTCTGAAAGAGAGAGATGCTGGAGTCAGGTTATTTATACCAAGCGATGGGGAGTTAAAGAGGATTCGTGTGTGCTGTGTGTGTGTGTGTGTGTGTGTGTGTGTGGTGTCTCTAACACTAATGAAAACTTAGTTCTAAAAATTTAGAATAAGTCATCATATCAAATAAGTTGCCCTTGACATGGGACTCAAGAAAAGTAGAAGCTCATTATGCCCTTTGGTTGTCTGGGAAGACCATCCAGGCTTATGTTCCAGTCTGATGCCACATGAGCTAGGAGTAAGGCAGCAAAGACCATGTGACCAATAGTGATGAAGCATCTTGTAGGTCCCCTAGGATGTTAGGTGGCACAGAAGGGACAGGTGCCGTCATGACAAATGAATGCTCTGTATGCCCAGAGTGCTCCCGATGAGTGCAGGGGGTGTCAATGGGGTGAAAATTAAATTGTAATAGGACCATTCTCAAGGCGTTCAGATAATCAGGTGAGACTCAAGTTGGGGTGTGGGACATGGGAGGTAACAGGGTTTCTATAAACAAATAGAAAGGGTGCTGGATATCAGCAGACAGGCAGGACTCATTGGCACGAAGATCTGGGCCTTGGGGGACAGCTGGGGAGATGACATGGGCCAGGAATGTTGATGTAATCGTCTGGATCACTGTCTTCCACGTTGACAGCAGGCTGGTGGCCCAACATCACGTACTCACAGCTTGTCTTCAGAGGTGGGGTGTGAGGCCAGGGGGCTTCAAGTACCTGGGAACAACCAAAGGAGTGTCAGTAGCTCTGGCTGCGTGATTTTAGCATCTGTTTAGGTGGATATCCGCTGCAGGGAATGGAACGACATAGGCATGGTTGCCGAGTTCCAGGTGGTAACGTCGCAGAATTGGCTGAACTCCATTGAGTGGGCCAGTCCCAGGGTTTTTCAGGGTGCAGTCTCACCCCCAAATAACTGGAAACTACTTCATTCTAACGTGGGCAGGATATGCTTTACATGGGGTTCAGACTGAAATCATATGGTGTGAAGGAGGCCCACCTGCAGAAGTCTCCCCTTGGGGACAGAGGGATATGACATGTAGGAAAAATATGCACCTTCTCCGGCAACTATTCAGAGGTAGGGTGAGTCATTTCTTAGACCTCTGCAAGGACTTGGAGAGGCCATGACATGGCACAAGACCGCATTCCAGAAAAGGGCTGGGCAGCCGAGGAAGGGAGATTGCAGATCATGTGGGCACTAGGGTGCTTCTCTCTGCCAGGCAGAAGCTTTAGGACTTCTCCTTCATGGCAGCTAGTTCTCAGAAGACAAGGCTATGTCAAGACTCCGACAGGGTACAAGTTCTGTAATGACCATAGGGCATATCCACAGGAAGAGAAGACAGACTCTGCTGGGCCAGTCACCCCCAAGCCTTGGGGATTCTTGGGGGGTTTATGTGGGTGAGAGGACACATTCAAGAGGTTGGAGGTGACTACAGGTTTCTTCCCATTTTAGCCAGACACGTGATCATTTAATCAATATATTGCCAACCAGGCATGGCATTCATAACCTCCTTTGAAGGCAGACAGCTAATGGGAGGTGAGTGGAAGTGAGATATGAAAATTCAGGGTCATGGTCATAAACAGCCGTTTTCCCTCTGGGTAGAAATAAGGATTTGGTCTGGCGACTGAATACTGACCATGGACATGGAAGTTTGTGGGGGCTGTTAGAGCAAATATCCCTGGGTTGGTGTCCTGGGTTAAGCCACTTCTTCTGGTCCCTCTGGTTTGAACCTTGACTTTAGAGGAAGACATGGCCTCTGTGTCCTGGGCTCTGCGTTTTTTAGGTCTGTTGTATTTAATTAATTATCACTAATTAACACACACACACAGTGCCCTTATTAATATTTTTCTGACTACAAACCCCACTGTTTTAGACGTTGTGAATACTTAAAGAATATTTTCTTTAATTTGGAAAAACAAAAGGACACACTGTTCTGTTTGAACAGCTGCATCTCTGTCCAGTCACTTTGGATAAAGTCTGATGGCCACATTACCGCCTCTCATTTTAAATGAGTTTTCCAGAATGTTCTCCCTCACACTGAGTTAAAACTGTCGGGGTACCTTCCACCCCCTCTAGCCTTCTAGAAACCTAAGTGTCTCTTTTACACTACGGTCGCTGCAGGGTGACTCATCTTTTATCATTCTTTACTTGACTAAAGCCACCCAGCATCCATTTATCCCAAGAGAAATGCTTGCCCAGGTAAGTAAGGTAACCAGAGTTCTCCTGAGGGCTTCAACCTAGGAACCGGATACAACCAATTGGTGTACTGGGGACTAGAGGGGCACGCTTGCCCTACTGAGCACCGATCACTGGCTGGGGTGGGCGGAGCTTACCTGCGGTGGGGCTGGGGGTGCTGAGGCTGGGGTACTGAGGAGTGGAGTCTCTGTTGGGCCTACGGGGAAGAAGAAAGCGGTGAGTGCTGGGCATCTCCAAGCCTGGCCGCTACCTGTCCCCTGCGCCCTGCTGGAGCCAGTCTCCACGCTTCACGCGTGCGTGCGCTCACCCACTCGGTCGGGTATCGGCGCACGCCGCGGGCAGGCGCTATAGACGTTGTTCTGCGAGCGTGGTCTCTGCGGGGCACCCGGGCGCTGTGCGGGGAACTGGCGGGACGCCTCCCGGCCTCGAATCCTCATTGCCACTCTGCCCACGCGCCTGGAAAAGGCTTCAGGGAGTCACCGGAAAGAGAAAAGGACATGGATGGCATCAGATGCCGGTGGCCACCTGCATCTCCTTCCCCCTAACTGCACATCTCTTTGGTGTCTGGCAGTGTGTGACCTATGCATAGATGCCCAGGGTGCAGAGCGCAGGAGGAAGGGCAAAGCCCTCCTAGGCTCCATCTCCCATCCACGGTCCCTGGGAGTTCAAGCTGGATCTGAATGCTCTGCTCTGTTTTGGTATCTCAGCTCTTCCAACCAAAACCCAGAGCCTCAAGCTGCTTACCTTTCCTTCTTTGAACGGCTCTTTTTACCATCAGTCCCAAAAGAACCAGCAAAAGAAAGCCCAGGAAGGCCGGAATCAGGATGTGAAATTCTAGGACGGGGATGTGCAGCCCTTGGTCTTCTCTCTCATACTGTGGGTTGTGGTGGGGTGTTCTTGGCCAGGGGGGAAAAGGGAAAGGAAGACAGAGAAGGTAAATGAGGAAAAGAAACGTAAAGACTCAGCCAGTGTGGTCACCCGTTTTGGAGATGACTCAAAAGTTGACCCTTTGTGAACAAAACCCCCTCCATCACCCCACCAAGGAGATTTGTTTATGGGGTCAGGAGTCTTGGGTTCAAATCAAGTTCCGCATTTTACTGGTTATGTAGTCTTGAGCGAGTCTTAATTTCCCTGAGCCATATTTCCTTATAAATGGGAACCATAAAACCTGCCACAAATTTGTTAGGGCTATAAAACAAAGGAGATATAAAGAATTGAAGGTGCCTGGTCTATAGGACTTTCTATAACAGCTCCTGTTCCCGCCGCTAGAAACCTTTTCACGGGCCGACTTGCATTAGCCAGACCTGGAGTCTTTTATCTTTTTAACGTCTTAGGACACTGCATGGTGCCAGGCATGTAGTTGACATTTAGAAACTGTTTATTAACGTGGATTTCTGAAATAGGAATCAAGAGTCCCGTTTTCACTGAAACCACTTAGACTTCATTGCCCCAGTTCCCTCGCTTATAGGATTCGAATGATTCTGGGAGTTCATCTTCGCTCAGACTATAAAATACTTGTGGGTTTTCTTGGGGATTTGTTATAAGGCTGCCCCCTAGTGGTTCATTTAGGTCCGATATTTAGGACCTAAATAAGGAATTTAAAGTGTGTTAGCGGCATTAAAAAGGAAAGGAAAAAAGATGAGCGTAATTTTAATATTTATTAATTGGTAATTAATTTTAATTAAATTAATTAAAAGTTCTTCTCATTTAGTTATTCATTAGAACAGACCTGAATGAATCTGTATGATTGAAAGACCCAAGCCTTTCTATAAGGTCAGAAATGGCTGTTGGCAAGCCCATCTTTGTAAACGAAACTAATGCATTTTCATAGCACACTCAAAAACAGCATTTCTCGGGGGACTCCTGGAGACAAAGACGAGAAGGGGGCAAGCTGACTCCAAGGCTCTTTGCAGCCAGGCCCTAAACACAGACTCTTACCTTTGCCCCTGGAGACTGGTGTGATGGCTGTAGCTGGCCGCTAGGGGCCGGAGTGCAGGCTGAGCTGAGGTCTTTGAGGCTGTGGGAGCTGGCAGGAGGGCTGGGGACTTAGCAGCTGTCATGGAAGATGTTCTGGAAACTCTGGGATGTTGGGTGACTGGAACGGTGCTGGAGGGCTGGTGAGCTGGAGGGGCCTTGGTCCTGGGACCTGGTGTGGTCACTTCAAGAGAGAGTAGGGAAAGGTAACAGTGGTGATCAGCTATGTTCTCCAGTCTGCAGGAGTATCTTCCTCGCTCAGTCATTTTGCCCCTTTTGCCCATACATGCTACCTTTGTCCTCGCAGTCCTCATGGCCTGGAATGCCTTTATAGCATGCCATATACACAGAAAATTTTCATGCATGCTTCTTTCAAATATCATTTTCTCCGACCAGCCTTTCCTGACTTCACAGGCAGAAGCACTTACCATGTACTGAGTGGGGGGCTGGGGGTGTGGGGTGGGGCGTCTCTTGCTTTTCTATGCTCATTTATTCTCTTCCATCCCATCCTTGTCAGTCACACTCACTGATCTATGATCTGCCCAGTTACACTGTTTCTCTTGGCCCCAGCAGGGTCTCCTAGTGTAATGATGTTCAATTAGTGTGTCTAACTGATCTGGTATATGCTGACACACCATGGAAACCTTAGCGTGACAGTCATCTTTTAAGTGTCAAATAGAGTTGTTAAAACCACTAGCTACCAGCAGGCAGAAGACAGCCCTACAGGTAGCAGGAAGTATAATGACCTCCAGCTAGGAACCAGCTGCCCTACCGGGACTTTGAAAAAGGAGCTGGCATTTGTCAATTGGGCACTTTGTTACTTTGGTTTGGTGCCACCTGGTGGTGATATGAGACTCCTGCAACTAGGGCCTGGTGTCCTAGTTGGAGAATGAAGGCCCTCTCTTAAGGCAGGGACAAAGAAAGCATGTTCGCTTTGCCAGCCACTCTTTGAACTAAAAAATAAATAAAAAAATAAAAAAATAAATCCCTCTTCTGTAGATCTTGATTTGAAGGACTGACCTTCGGATATGGATTCAGAAGAAGTGACATGTTCAACCTCATGGAGCCGGCTAGAAATCTGCTCCTGCAGAAATCTGTGAAACCACGGTGGAAGCTCAGGGGGAGGCTCTTCTTCCCAGAATGGATCATATACTATTGGAGGCAAGAGGGATACACACTGGTGATCACCAGGGAGGAGAAAGGACTGGAGGTTCAAGTAGACACTGACTCGGGCGAGGCCTTCAGGAGATGAGCAGGGTCCCCTGAGACAAGCAGAAAAGACACTGAACATGTCCCCCTCCCCCGCCCCAAGGAACCGGTCTTTCCCAAGAGCCCACCCAGCATTCCCTATAAGACCATCGGGCTATTGGGATTATAAAATGTTGAACCAGTCGTGTGCGTGTTAGGAAGTTACTGAAAAGAGGAAAAGTCAGGGGTAAGAAGACATGAAGGGCCCGACCGTAGTATAGTAACAGTGTGAACTGGATATGGTTTGATCAGGGAGTCTTTCTCCTTTCCATTCATCCGAGACTTTTCATAAGTACATAGGATCATCACGGACCTTCTTCTGGTTCCCTCAGCCTAATGTCTGCCTCTCCACTCATGCCCTGGGTAGGACAGGCAACACCCATTTTATCCCATTGTCCCCTGTGGATAGAAGGTTCTAGGCTGGGGTGTTGGTCTTAGGCTGTGTCGATCTGCATTGTCACTGGGCTGCCTAACACGGCACGGGCCAGTCACAGTTAGAAAATTGCCTGTTTTCTCAGCTGGGAATGTTTCCTAAGCACCTACCAGGATGGACTTTCAGGGTGATTCTCTGGGTCTTGCCCCGGTCTGTGTGTCCACCCACACCGCAAGCATAGACTCCATTGTCACTTTCGGTCAGCCGCCTCAACTCCACTCGGAAATACTTTGGATCCGGCCATGGCAGCAGGGCGGCTCGTCTTTCATACCCCTCCCTGACGAAGCTGTTGGATACCACAGTGGCACATATCCTGGGGTCAGTCATCTCCCGGCACAGGTACATCCTCACACCTGTTTGAGGGTCAGGGAGTGGGCACTTGATGATAATGGATCCACCCCACTCGGCATCCAGCTGTACTTCCGGGAGGACCTTCAGCGTCCCAGATACTGTAGGGAGAAGAAATCAATGCAGAAAAAACTCTATATCCAGATGTGTCTCAACTTCAGCCACACCCTCAACCTCAGGCATCTCTCCAAACCTAGTGCCAACCCCAGACATCCTCACACGCTTCCCTAGATCTAGCCTATCCCTGCGTTAGCCAGGCTCAGCTCTAGGATGACCTCTGCCTGTTGACACGTGCTCAGGTTCTTCAAGGTCCTGTTCTCTTTCAGGCTTACTCTGTGCCCATCCCGTGTCGTCAGCATCAGCCTCATTATTAAACCTGAGACTGTAAGGACTTAGACACAACCACAGTGCCTACTCCAAAGAGAAACAGTATGCCTAGAATGATGCCCAGTGACACACAGCCCCCAAGTGACTTCAGTAGGGGGGTGAGAAAAGTGACACTTACCCTTTCAAGATCCCCTTTTCCTCAAATCCTTTCTTCTACCCAGTCCCCCCTCCAACTCTATTAAACCATGGAGCCATCGGATGCCTTTCATGGGCATCCCTCCGTCATAGATTAATCATGTGGGTAAGTCATCCCAACAGACTGCTTCTACAGCACATGGAACAGATTCCAGGAGAGAGAGCGCTCAGGGCTCCCCAAAGGGAGCACGCAGGAGCACCTGATTCAGGCTGCCAAGGGGATGCTGTCCTAGGAGTAAGGCTTTGAGAGAAGTGGTATCCAAGCTGCACCCTGAGCCAACGGGCATGAAGGGCAACAAAAAAGGTGATATTCATCACTAGTGTGGAGAACTCGTGGGAGCCAAAGCAGGGTAGGCATGCGTGGGAGTGCGTACGTGTGGTTATGAACATACGTGCGTCTGAGGTGGGAGAAGGCGTCTAAGGGAACCTACTGATATGGTATTAATGTTGGAGAGGCAATTAAATGGCATCTAGTTTGCAATCTTGATTTTGGTGACTAAATTGCTGGCGATCGAAGAGAGGGAGAGACGTAGTCTGAAAAGTCACTGTCAGTATACAGCTGGGTGAAAACACACATTTGAGACGTGAATGATGCTCTGTAGCTTCCTCACAGTGCGGAGCAAGGTGAATAAGGTCAGGCCTGGAGGGCTGAGGCCACTCCAGAGATTCTCTAGGCAGCAGTGGGATTCAACCCACTCAGGAGCAGAATGCTCGAAAGGAGGAAGACAACTGCTTGCGATTTGTGTGCTATCAAAAGGGATATAGGCTACGAGTGTGTATTTGTGGGGCAGGCGCTCTCTCTACCTGGACCTGTAGCTCACCCATTCACCAGCAATCCTGGGCATCCTTTTGCCTCAGGTTCCCCAGCTCTGGCTCCTAGGTGTGAGCCGCTGAACCTGGCTTTTTATGTGCCTGCTGTGGCTCTGAGCTCAGGGTCTCATGCTTTCGTGGCCAGCGTTTTCCCTACCTACCCGCCCCGACTGTGAAATTCTAAATTTCTTTAAAAAGGATGAGAGGGCTGGTAGGATGGCTCAGTGGGTGAAGGCACAAGCTGACAACCCTGGCAATTTTGGTTCCTAATGCCCCCGTGATGGAGAAAGAGCACTGACTCCTTCAGGTTGTCCCCGACCTCCATACGCATGCTGTGGTACATGCCTCAAATGTACAAAACCAAACCAAACAAACGTATTAAGACATTTAAAAGTATGAGAACTTTCCACTCGGCGTCCCATTCCCATCGACAGCAACCTGCACGTGAATAGGCCTGTTGCCTGATTTCAGTTCTGCCGCGGAAAACAGCCCTCTTTTCCTTTCCCAGGGCACTCCTTCCACTGCAACCCGAGTCTCTACCCTTCTCTTGATTTAGAATGTCTGTCTGCAATGATCCCCCTTTCTGCTGCATCATCCGCTGAATTCTCTTCAGCACCGCAACAGCTCACACACAAGCCCTGATAGTGGCACCTTGAAAACCCTGCTGTTTGCTCTTTTCTGTTTCCTTTCTCAAATGTCTCAGCAAATTCATATCCACTCCTTCAATTTCTATTTGATCAAATTCAACCAAAATTTGGTCTCTAAAAGTCCACTGACACTGCTCTCATCCACGTCAAGACAACTGTCTTTGTGGCTGTCTCTGTTGATCGCTTATTTGTCCCCATCTTACTGGTCCCCTTGGCAGCATTTGTTTGACCCATCCGAGTCTCCCTTCTAGGACCCCTTTTTGTGACCCCCTGATGCTATACTGCCATAGCTGTTTGCATGCTGGCTCCTCGCTTGCTTAGTCATCTCCACCTACCCCTCAATGGTGGACTCACACATAGCTCGGTACCTGACCAATTCTTCCTGTGTCTTCCCTGCTCTTTCTGCACTAACTCATTTATTCTAGGGCCCTTTAAATACAGGTGCTGGTAAAGTTTTAGCTCAGCACATGTTTGCTTCTAGTCTTGTTACTGCCTCTGAGATCCAAACTGGCTCTGGCCCTTGGACTACTTAAGATAATATCTAACAACAGCCAGAAGAGAACTCTTCCTAATCCTGCTCGCTCATAAAAGAGTTTTCTGCCTTGGCAAATAATGCTACCATCCAAGGGCTGAAGACCAAACCCATCCTCATGCTAGTGAATCAAGAATAAATTGCTGGAGGTCCAAGGAGAGGGCTCAATGGGTGAACTGCTAGCTTGACAATCCAAGTTCGGTCTTTGGAACCCATGCAAAATCTCAGATATGCATCTGTAATCCTCTCATTCCTATGGTGAGACAGGAGGCAGAGAGAAAAGAACTGCCTGGAAACTCACAGGCCAACTATCTTAAAGTATGTAGCATAGCAGCAGATACAATACGAGCGACCCTGCCTTTAGTAGGTAGAAGGTGTGAAGTGTCTCCAAAGTCACCCTCTGAAGCCCACATACGTGCTGGGTTTTTATCACTACACCCTCTAGTTCGAGAGGTGAATTACCAAGCTCAAGCCATCTTTTCTATTGTCCCGTTGCAGATTTGGAAGTTTCCCCTTGTGATGGGTTGATGTCTTATGTCCACTTGACACAAGCTAAAGTCACCTCAAAGGAGGGAAACCTCAATTAAGAAAATGCTTCCTTGAGCTTCTGGACTTCAGCTAAAGAGAGGGAGGAGGAATCATATGAGCAAGGGGCCGGGTCAAGATCATGATGGGGATAACTACAGAAATAGCTAACCCGAGCTAGTGGGAGCTCACAGATTCCTGACAGCCTGAGAGCTTGGGAACCTACATGGGCCCAAAGTGGATCCCCTGAATGGGGGTGACAGTTATGTGGCTTGATCTGTTGGGGGGGGGGGAGGGCTGGCAGTCACACCAGGACCTATCCCAGGTGCATGAACTGGCTTTTGGAGCCCATTCCCTATGGTGAGATGCCTTGTTCAGCCTTGATACGGGGAGAGGGGCTTGGTCCTGCCTCAAGTTAGTATCCCAGACCTTGTTGAATCCCCAAGGAAGTCCTTACCCCCTCTGAAGAGTGGGTTGGGGATGGGAAGGGGAGGAGGGGGGCCGGGTTGGAGAAGGAGAGGGAGGGGAAATGGGGTTAGTATGTAAAATGAAAAGTAATTTTTTAAAGAAAAGTAAATGGAAGAAAAAAAAGAAAATTCTTCCAAATTGGGCTTCAGGCAAGCCTGTGGGGGCATATTCTTAATTAGTGATTAATGGGGGGAGGGCCCAGCTCTTTCTGGGTGTTGCTATCCCTTGGGTGGTAGTCCTGGGTTCCATAAGAAAAGAAGTTGAGCAAGCTTACTGGCTATGGGAGTAAGCCTGTAAGCAGCACCCTCCACGGCCTCTGCATCAGCTCCTGCATCCAGGTTCCTGCCCTGATGAGTTCCTGTCCTGACTTCCTTCAGTGATGAACAATGACATGGAAGTGCAAGCCAAATAAACCCTTTCCTCACCAACTTGCCTTTTGGTCATGGTGTTTCACTGCAGCAATAGAAACCCTAGCTAAGACAGCCCCTAACTGTACCAATCTCTTAATGAACCACACTTCTTCGCTCTATTTGCGTCTTTAACTGAGTTCGCACTCCTTTCTTTGCCGAGCGGAGCATTTGCCACACATTTCTGTTCTTTCTCACTGTAAATCTGGGTAAACACAGGGAGCCATAACCACGCCACGGAGTGAATGCTACGCCACCTTTACAGTTCTCCTGTGAAACAACTTAGTCCATTTGAGTTCAGGGTCATTCAGCGTATGGAGGTCCAAACAGAATGCAGACAGATTCTTCACCGTGTTATAACACGAATGCTCCTACTCCAAGTTCTGATGGAGTCCTTGTTCTCCTGTGTGAGAGACTCTGGTCTTATGCGCTCACACCAGAATACTCGAATTAACTTCTGCTTACAGCGTTCTAGACCTTCTTTAACCATTCCTGTTTCAAGACGCCTCCTGAAAATGAGTTCTGAAGGCCTATAAGCCCCAGGTCAGATGTCTCAAGCAGGGGTCCCACATCTTGACATAAAGTTCCTGGATTAGTTACTTTTCTTATTGTTGCAACAGGAAGAAACTTCAGTAAGGAAAGGTCTGCATGGGCTCACAGTTTGAGGGCGTAGACCAGTGGTTCTCAATCTGTGGGCTGCGACCCCTTTAGAGGTTGAATGGCCCTTTCACAGGGGTCATCTAAGTGTGTCAGAAAACACAGATATTTACACTACCATTCATATCAGTAGCAAATTTACAGTTATGAAATAGCATGAAAATAATTTTATGGTTGGGGGTCACCACAGCAGGAGGAACTGTATTAAAGGGTGGCAGCGTGAGGAAGGTTAAGAGCTGGTAGAGACCGCCATGGGATGGAAGCTATGGTAGCAGAAGCATGAAGCTGCTGGATTATATCACAGGGTGGGATGGTGTGGGGGATCAACAAGGAAGGTGAATCCCAGTGCTCAGCAGCTTCCTCTCTTTCCTGTTGTTATTGTCAGTGAAGTCAGCCCATGGTCCAATCCACAGGCAAGGTAGAGCTTCTCCCTCAGTTAACTTTCTCTGGAAACATCCTCACCACCACATCCAATGGTAGGCCTGACTAATACCTGCACGTTTCTTAATCCAATTAGATCCTCAACAAAGCTTAGCTCTCACAAAGAGGATGTTATTGATGGACCAAGTAAGATATAAGCACACTGAGCCAAATTATGATGTGACTGACTGGACTCAGAAGGCGCTGACGAACAAGAGGTAAGTAGGTATGGGAAGAAACAGTGAACTGTAAACTGGGAGGGATGGTGTTCCCGTAGCAGGGACAGCCAGACCGAGGGCACGAGAGCAGGGATCTGTAGCATTTGTTCAAAGAAGAGCCTGTTTGGTTGGAAGATACAACGGAGTGTGGTGCATTTAGAAGATAAGAGTAGGTGTTGGAACCATTGGATGACAGTATAATGTTAGAGATGGTTAGGACAGATGGGATAGCTGGTTTGTATGGCGCAGTGAAGTCTCTCAGGCAAGGCTTCAGGCACATTGAGCTCCATATCTTGGTGACTGTTTAAGGGGGTGCTGGGTAGGAGGTTGTAAACTGAGCTATGAAGTTTAGGGAGTAGGTTAGGCAGTCTTCATTTGAACTCAATAGCTGTCAATTCAAGCGTACAAAAGAAAAGAAAGATCAAAGGAAAGAGAAAATAGATGTAAGAAGATCAAACCTAGGAGACACCTATTTTCAGATCTCATACGGGACTATTTAGGATACGTGACACCTTCAGCCTTCGAAAACCTAGCAGCTGCCCTGGATGGGAGTTGGGAAGAATGCTATGCGAGTTGGGAGGGGCCAGGACTTCACTGTCTCCAAGGGCCTGCTCTTGCTCAGGCTACAACTCAATCCTTGCAGAAACATTAGGGCTGGAGGTGGCTGGCGGCGAATTAGCCCTGGTTAATTCAAACCTGGTAATTAGCCGGGAGTGTCCCCCCACCCCCCACCCCCCACAGTACTCACCTGGCAGGAAGCAAAGTAACCAGAGCCAAAGGCACATGGTTCCTTGGAGGCCAGATTCCATACAGGAGCCCCTGGAGTAAGCAGAGACACAACAATCGCCTGGGCAGCGATCACCTGGGAGAGCCTTCTACAGTCGGGTACTTGAAAGAGAGTCTGGCCCCCCTGAGGGGTAGGGGTTTAAAAATGAGGAAATGATAATCTGTCCTGTTTGCTAACTGGCCTTTGTCTAAAAAAAAAATATCAGCAAACCACAGCGGAAATCGAGTGTTGAGAAAACATGTATTTCATAAAAATGGGTGACTAGTGTTCAAAGGGTCTCTAAGAAACTCAGGACTCTGGGCAGCTACCGGGCTTTGACACCTTTCTCAGCGAGGCCTCCCAGGATTCCTTTGCATTGACTGGTTCCTGGACTAAAGTCATTTATTGTTTCTCTGTCTTCAGGATAACACAGACTCATCTCCAGTTCTCTCCCGACAACAAAGGCTTTGTGGGCCGAAGCTCGGCTGCTTGAAGTCTTAAGGGGCTGTCAGTTAATTCCTCCGAAGAATACTTGTGAACACCTTACTATTTGTAGTGATATTAACCACAGATTTTGAGCAATTCATTATTTTTCTCTGCACTCTTTCTAGAGAATAAATGAAAGTGGGATAGCACAGCCTCAGGCACCCCACCAGGCAGATAATCATTCCTCGGGGGTCTTAGCCACAGCCTGCCCAGTGCCCCAGCTGTACTTCGTCCCTTATTCTCCCACAGCGGTCTCCAAAATGGTCTTCCCTCTCACAGAGGCACACTCCACTGACCGGTAAGAGAAGGGCAATGCTAAGAGTCAGGTGTGACAAGTCACATAGCAACTCCGCCTGGCGTCCCAGCAGCCTGGGAGAGCCAGTCTTCAGGACACCTAGTGACAAGAATAAGGCCATTGATGAAGGGAAGAGAGAAGCCGAGTCCGTGAAAGCTCATGAAAACAACTTTGGATTCAAGGCAGAATGCCTGAGGGTTTGCCCAGACTTGACACGTTTTAGCCTTGGGCAAGCGTCCCTGAGCCCTGAGCCGGTGTTCTCACTGATAATAACGTGGGGACAGTCACTGGTCTTGCCTGGTGCACAGCAGAAATCGCTGCTGTGGCAATGCTATTAAAGCCCTTTAACATGGAGATGTGCAAAGCTGTGGGGGGTTCCCAGGTTTTCCTTCAGGGCTGCTTCATTGGTTAACCACAGTGCCCAGGGCCCCTGGTCTAGGCTCTCCAGCCTTGTGCCCATCCTATTTCAGGCTCCTTGATGGCTGACTGCACGCCACTCCCCAGTCACCCCCACACACCAGAGCTGTCACATGCTCTCCAAAACACGATGCAATCACTTCCTCAGCCCTGGAGATTGAATGTGAGCTCAGAGCAGGTGCAGAGGAAGAAGAAAGAGGAAACATGTGGGCGTGAGCAGCCTGCCCTGCTGTGCCCTGCCCTGCCCTGGCCATCTCTCTCCCGGTCTCTTCTAGCTCAGAGCAACTGGCATGTGATAGCCTTCGGCCAGCAAGTTGGCCTGCTGTCTGAGGGCAGCCTCAGGCTTCTGGTTAGAGTGGCTAACCCAGGTCAGCTTCAGCTAGGATCAGTGTTGACACTTCCTACTTAGAGAGCTCTTCCCAGTGGCCTTCACCGGCCAGGCAGCTAGCTGGGCTCTCGGTTGGCTGCGATTGCCTTGGAGTCCTGGGGCAGGCAAGAGGAAGGAATGGGGGGAGGGGGAGAAAGGAGGGAGAATAGGAATGAATGTACGAAGCGTGATGGTGGGAGTGAGAGTGTGGGTGTCAGTGCATCGTGGACATGTGAAGCCAGTGTCCTGTGCAAATGAGCAGCGTGGCATATGTAAATGGGTGTGGTGTGGTATGTGGGCATGTGATGTGTGTTCTGTGGTACATGATGTGTATTGCGAGTAGATGGTGTGGCTGTAAGTGTGTATTATAGATAGTTGGTATGTAATTTCTGCGTGTGTATGAAGTTCTGGAATTTGCTGGCTGAGCCTGTCAGTCAGGGCTGAATGAAAGCAGAGCATTTAACATGTGCAACCTATGCAGATTCCCTTTAAGAACTCGTATGAGGGGAAGAGCAAGAGTTACCGTATGTTGCGGGTGGAGAGTCGGCCATCTGCAAACCTTCTGATCCGCAGTGGTGGCCTGCCTGCCTGATAGGCTGGTATGACAGCGGCATAAACACCGTGGGAGTAACCGACCAGTATGACTGGAATGAAGACCCCTTTCGTGAGAGGGCGCCTGTACCGGGCACATAAACACCGGGGGAGTAACCGACCAGTATGACTGGAATGAAGACCCCTTTCACGAGAGGGCGCCTGTACCGGGCACATAAACACCGGGGGAGTAACCGACCAGTATCTGACTGGAATGAAGGCCCCTTTCGTGAGAGGGCGCCTGTACCTGGCACTGCTCTGGGGGCCAGGGACCCGAGACTAGAGTGAACATGGGCCCGGGGGAAAAACAGATCCTGTTGTCCTACTAATGGAACCCTGGAACTAAGTGACTCCCGACGACACTCTGCTGGATATCTTGAGGTTGTGCTCAGCCTTCTCAGAGAAGCCTCTTCCTGCTGCTGATGCCACCTAACACAGAGACCCACAGCTGTGCGACTTGTTGAGAGCGAGAGACCTTGGAACACTGAGTCCTGAATGGGATGGCTCCATCAGTCCCCTCCCCTCAGGGTGCAGGGAGACCTTGGAACACTGAGTCCTGAATGGGATGGCTCCATCAGTCCCCTCCCCTCAGGGTGCAGGGAGTTAGGCAGAAGGCAGAAAGAGTGTGAGAGCCAGAGGGGGTGGATGACTCCAAGGAGACAGTATCTTCCAGATACAACACGACTGACTCCATACGAACTCACAGAGACCGGCAGCATGTATGAGGCCTGCATAGGACCAAACCATATAAAATAAAAAATAAATCTTAAACAAAAGAATTACAAGTCTGTACTCTGCCAGGTAGGAATGACGAGAGAGATCCAAACTCTTAGGCCTGAATCTGATCAAATGCAGGGCCGCCACTTCAGGCACCTCTCCACCCCCGACTTTGTGACTCATTGTCCTTTCCACAGGGACATATAAATCAGCCAGCCAATCAATAGTAGTCATTGGCTGAATCTGTAGCTCAATAGTCGAGTGATTCCCTTGAATGCATGAAGTCATGAGGGTCAATCTCCAACACCGCAAAGAGGCCACCATTGCACTCTCACTGGAAAGTGGGAATTTTGTAGATAGGTGTTAAGTGCGGTTAGCTCTGGAATTTCTCTGTTAATTTCTAGTTTGGATGAAGTAGCTGAAGATGAGAATGGAGCATTGAAGTCTTCTCTGTTATTACATCAGACTTTTCAAGCGCTTTAGTGTTTGCTTTATGAAATTACAAACCCTATATCTGGTGCACACACACACGTATAATATATACACATATGTATATGTGTTTGTGTTTTATACCTTCTTATGGGTTATTTGCTTTATTAACATACAGTACAGTGAGTCTCAACCTTTTGAATGCTTTGACAATGCTTTAATTTAATTAATTAATGCTTTAATACACTTCCTCATGTTGTGATGACCCGCCCAACCATAAGATTATTTTGTTGCTACTTCAAAGCTGTAACCTTGCTACTGTGATGAATCCTAATGTAATTATCTGATATGCAGGCTATCTGACATGTGACCCCAGATGGGTTGTGACTCGCAGGTTGAGAATCACCAAGATAGTGACATAGTGACTTTCTTTATTGCTTCCCTGGACTAGCTGGCTTGAGGCCAGCCTTAGTGGCTATCAGACCAGCTAAGGAAGTTTTCAGACAGCTGACATTTGCTTCCTGAGTTGCCTCTGATATTCTGATCTCACAGTGCATGTGTTTCTTGGCGATAACAGAAAGCTGCCCTTTGCTTTTCAATGCGTTCAGATAGCCTTTAAATCTTTAAAGGGGCCACGTAGGCCATTTGTGTCAAATGAGAGACATTTGTTAGTGCCTGTGACTTTGCTAGTTGTTCTGGTTGGTTGGGCTATTCTACGGTTAGTTCTTTGTCTCATGTTACTGTTGGAGGTTTCCTGGCTTACTGTGTTGGATGGGATGGATTCTTTCCTAGCTCTCCCTGGTTCATCTACTCATTGCCTAAAAATCATTCTTTCCTTTGTTTTTGTGAATAGGATTTTCTTTTAATATGCTATTTTTAAATTTTTTTCAAGATTTAGAAAATATCAATGTGTGTATGTGTGTGAGAGTATATTCCATACATGTGGAGGCCAGGAGAGGGTGTCAGATGCCCTGGGGCTAGAGTTATAGGCTGTTGTAAGCTGCTAGCAGTGTGTTGAACTTAGATCCTTTGGAAGAGCGGGACACACTTGACAGCTGGTCCATTCGCCAGCCTTAAATATTTTCTACACTGCCGGCATAGTGGTCATGAACTGCTTTTATTTGCAAATGTCCTTATTTCTTCTTCAGTTTCAAGGGCTGGCTTTATTGGATGTAGCCATCTTGATTGGCAGATGTGTATTTTCAGCGCTTGCCATATCCCATGCTTCCTAGTTCCTAGTGTTGCTAGTGATAGACCTGACGTTACTCTATTGTGTTTGCCTCTGCAGGTGGGTTGGCATTTCCCCCTTAGCGTTATAATACAGTTCCTTTGTTTTGAAGGGTTGACTATAATCTATTCTTCCTATTTGGGGCTCTAAATCCCTCTTATGTTTGTCCATCCATTTCTTCTAGAGGATTGGGAAATTTGCTACTGTAATTGCATTGAAGGAACTATGGGAAATTTGCTACTGTAATTGCATCAAAGGAACTACACCTTTAGATTTCACCTCAACTTTTTCTTCTTTCTTGAGGATTCTTGGGCTTAGTCTCGTAAACATGTCCTGGGTTTTGGTCATGCTGACCAACTTTTCTTTTGTTTATCTGAATGAATTATCATCTTCATTTTGTCCATCCCTTGATAGTCTTGATCTTTCCTTGGCAGCATGGTTTTGTTTGTTGGTCCTTTTCACAGTGATTTTCCTTTGATTGATGGTCTCTTTGATCCCAGCATTTCTATTTGGCTGCTCGGAATCAGGTGCCGAAGTTTCCCTATTTTTCTAAGTTTGTTATCCACATTGATCA